ATTATTTCTGAGTTGTTGAAAGAAGAAAACGCATAAATATATTCTTCTACTCCGAAGAAAACCGGTTATTTCATTTTTTTTTACTTTAGTTCTTGAATTTTAGATTTAAGGGTAGTTTCTTCGATTTAAAAAAAACAGGGGTGGTGGAGCAATTTTGACATTATTTCTGAGTTTTTAAAAGAAGAAAACGCATAAATATATTCTTCTACTCCGAAGAAAACAGTGTTTTTATTTTTTTTACTTTAATTCTTGAATTTTAGACTTAAGGGTAGTTTTTTCGATTTAAAAAAAAACAGAGGGTGATGGAGCAATTCTGACTTCATATTCGTATTCAGGGGGCCAAAATACTATAAGACATGTAGGTCTTGTTCAATGAACAGACAACTTTTTTTTTTTTAATAATAAAAATTAAAAATAATTATTTTTAATTTTTATTATTTAAATACACAATTAAAAATAATAATAATACTCCGCAAAAAAGCCCAACTAATAGAAAAATAAAAAAGTAGGTTAATTTTAAATTTAGATCTAACTATTACAATGTTAGACTTATTAAGTAATATATAACAAGTAATATTATATATATTTCTCTAAATAAAGATGTCTATTGACTTTTTAAAATTGATTTTCTTAAAAATTTCTTTATTAAAGTATTAATATTTAAATTTTATAGTTATTGCTGTTTTAAAAAATCAATCCGGGAATATTTATTTTTGGTCCGGGAATTTGAAAATAATAATTCACTAGACACCTTGAATTAATTTTTAACTTGATATAATAATTTTAATTCACTAAAATGAATTTAATTTTAGTTTTTAATAGAATTAATAAAAAAGAATTTAAATGTTTTTGGATATCGATTTTTTTTCAAAAAATAGGTTATTATTGTATTATTTTTAGTTGTCAGTTATGGGAAAGTCGAGAAGCAGTCGAGAAGTTCGGTCGATGACAATTAGAAAATTAGACGATACGATTTGACAATTAACAAAAGAATAAACGAGATGATCGTTTGAAAACCAAAGACGATAACCAAATAATCGCTCGAAAAAATGAAATTCTCGGATCGAAGTGAAACACTAACTTACAGAAATATAAGTCATTTTCACTGATTATCCATTTAAAAAATTATTGTTGATGTCTGTCAAACAAATACAGGGTTGCCACGGACCTGGAAAACCTGGGAAACCCGGAATTGTCATGGAATTTTTTTTCAGTCATGGAAAACCTGAAAAATCTGGAATTGTCAGGGAATTTTACAAAGCCTGATACTAAAAGCTCAATTTTTTGTATTTGAGTCGTAAAAATTTTAAGTTTTCAAGTTGACATTATACAACTTTTTGATTTTAAATTTAGTGCTTACAATTGAAATCAATATGGCATTTCTAAATTTTAGTTTCTTTTGGTCTCTATCTTCCTTTAAATAATTTTTAAATTAATACATTTTAGAAACCCCAAAATGTTATGAAACTGAAGCTACCAACTTTTATGCAATGAAAATTTTTTCTTTTGCTAATTGTTTTTTTAATATAAGAAGCCCTTTAAAAAATTGCAATCGAAAAAAATTGCTTCTGAAGCGAGGAAATAATAATTTAGTTGAAATTTCGGGATATTTGGAAAATCTACGAAAAAAATAATTAAAAATCACTGATTTCCTTGCTTTCCTTAGATCCTCTTACAATTTTTTTAAATGACTTGTCACATTAAAATAAATAATTTGTAAAAGAAAAAATTGCTTATGAGGTTAGGAAATAATAATTTTGTTTAAATAATATATGGATTTTTCGAAAATCTGTGTAAAAAATCAAAATTAATAATTTCCCCGACTTCGATCTTTTGAAATTTTTTAAAAGGCTTCTAACATTAAAATAAATAATTAGCAAAGGAAAAATTGTCATTGAATAAACGTAGGTAACTTCAGTTTCATAAAATGTTATTAAAATGCTTAAAATACTTGTTTAATAATTGTGAAAAATTCTAAACTAAACTAAATTTTTAAATTTAAAAAGATTTGCTCCTCATCTTTCTTCGGAGCGTATCTCAAATAATCTCACAAATTTTAACTTAAATTTTTGTTATTAATGAAATTAAAAATTAATAACTTATTTTGTTAACAATTTACTTAAAGGATTTTATACTTTTTGTCGTAATTAGCTAAAAACATACCAAAACAATTTTATTTCTGGTTTGGAATTTTTTAAGAAATGGTCTGGAAAACCTGGAAAAGTCATGGAATTTTAAAATCGATGTCTTGTGGCAACCCTGAAATAAATAAGTAAATACACAAGTAAATAAATAAGTTCCATTACAACACAGACAGCGCAGCATCAGCGAGTGAGGTATTTACGTATATTTAAGAAAATTTCAACAGACACTACGTGCATCAACGAACCTTAAAAAATTCAACAATTTATATTATCAATCGTTTATTAAATCTATACATATATGTGATTTGTGTATATGTAGGAGTTTATATCTGCATATGAGCAGTATACATGTGTATGTAATTTATGTACATGTGTGAGTATACATGTACATGTGATTAGTGTATATGTGTGAGTATACATGTGTGGGTGTTATGCGCGCATGCTTGATATTCACAGAACACTACTGCGCATGCCTGATATTCATAGAACACTACTGCGCATTCCTCACATTGATAGAACACTACTGCGCATGCCTGATATTCATAGAACACTACTGCGCATGCCTGATATTTATAGAACACTACTGCGCATGCGTAATATTGACAGAACACTACTGCGCATGCCTGATATTCATAGAACACTACTGCGCATTCCTCACATTGATAGAACACTACTGCGCATGCCTGATATTCATAGAACACTACTGCGCATGCCTGATATTTATAGAACACTACTGCGCATGTGTAATATTGACAGAACACTACTGCGCATGCCTGATATTCATAGAACACTACTGTGCATTCCTCACATTGATAGAACACTACTGCGCATGCGTAATATTGATAGAACACTATTGCGCATGCGTAATATTGACAGAACACTACTGCGCATGCCTAATATTGACAGAACACTACTGCGCATGTGTAATATTGACAGAACACTACTGCGCATGTGTAATATTGACAGAACGCTACTGCGCATGTGTAACATTGACAGAACACTACTGCGCATGCGTAACATTGACAGAACACTACTGCGCATGCCTGACATTGATATAACACTACTGCGCATGCCTAATATTGATAGAACACTACTGCGCATGTGTAACATTGACAGAACACTACTGCGCATGCGTAACATTGACAGAACACTACTGCGCATGCCTGACATTGACAGAACACTACTGCGCATGCCTGACATTGATAGAACACTACTGCGCATGTGTAACATTGACAGAACACTACTGCGCATGCGTAACATTGACAGAACACTACTGCGCATGCGTAACATTGACAGAACACTACTGCGCATGCGTAACAGTGATAGAACACTGCTGCGCATGCCTAATATTGATAGAACACTACTGCGCATGTGTAACATTGACAGAACACTACTGCGCATGCGTAACATTGACAGAACACTACTGCGCATGCCTGACATTGACAGAACACTACTGCGCATGCCTGACATTGATATAACACTACTGCGCATGCGTGATTTGTGAATATGTATACATTTGTGTTAATATTATTTTTAAAAGATATACATATATATACGACTAGGGTCGGTCGGTCGGTCGGTCGGTCGGTCGTTCTTCAACTTAATATAATAAGAGATAATTATTTACTTAGACATAGAATTTTTTGAAAAATTATTAAATATTGTTTCACTTTTGAACTAGTTTGAAGAATATTGTGTGTAAATTTCGTGGAAAAATATTAATATTTAACGAAGTAATCACGAGTTGAAGTCAAAAATTCATTAAAATTTTTTAGGTTAAAAAATCACGCTTTTCTCAATTTACTTAAAAACAAAAAATTATATAAAAAAATTTTATTAGAAAAAAAGTTTCGCCTTGACATTCTGAACAAGAAACAATAATTTTAAATTTATTTTGAACAACTTCAAAATTTTCTCTCCATGACCCAACTGACTGGCCGTGTGTTCACGCGTAACACATTATAGCATCCAGCCCCTCAATTTTTCGATACAATTTTACCAAATTTAATAGTGTAGAATCTAACTGTATTCAAACAAGCATATTAAAAAAATAAAATTATTTAAAATTATTTGTGTAGAGTTGAAATGTATGCAGATTAATGATAAATATTTATAACACATATTTGTAGACAATTCAACAGTATTCAATCGAACGTGTACAGTTCATCAATGTAGAGTTCAAATGTGTAGTATCGCTACCGCCCCAAATTAATTAATTATGTAATTCTTTTTAAAATACTATACAATTAAATTCTACACATGAAAATTGTAATTTTTCATTTTATGTGTAGAATTTACAAATGTTGAGTTAAATTGTGTTGAATATATAAATAATTATGTCTATTATTTTGTTTTGTAAAATTTTAGAAATAATTATTTCTATATTCTATACAATTAAACTCAATATTTGTAAATTCTACACATAAAATGAAAATTACAATTTTCATGTGTAGAATTTAATTGTATAGTATTTTAAAAAGAATTACATAATTAATTAATTTATATAGCTGTGTAGAGATTACAAATGTAGGATTTATTTGTGTGGAATTATTTGAAAATGTTTATTTTCATTTTTACATGAATGTGTAGAGTTTACTTGTGTGTAGTTTACGGTGAGAGTTTTTCAGTTTTCAGTTTACTCTGTAGGGTTTTAGGATGTAGTATTTACTTGTGTAGAATATATTTTTCAAATTCTGTTGAGACTTTTCTCGTGTACAGTTAGCGATGTAGAATTTTCTTGTGTAGAGTTTATTTGTGTAGAATTAATACCGCCCCTAATTCAAGAATATTAATTTAAATATTAATATTAAAATTTTATCGGTGTTATTTACATTGGTTTTTTTAATCTTTTTTTAGGGAGAAATTTCCGGCGATGTTTTCACGACCGTTCAAGTTATGGAGAAACTTTGCAAATATGTTTACGCTCATGATGGAACCGATCGACTTCGAACTCGTGCTATTTTGTCGCACATCTATCATCATGGTTTACATGATAATTGGTTCCAAGCTCGAGATTTGATGCTTATGTCACACTTGCAAGAGACGATTCAACATTCCGATCCAGCTACGCAGGTAAACAACTTTACGTCGTTTTTTTTGTTCTTTCTATTCATTATTTATTTTTAAAAAACAGAAATTTCTTCTGTTACTCTTAATTATCATAATTTATATTATAATTTATTGACGTTTCTTAATCGAATTCATTATAAATCTATTAATTATTTTGTACATTTAATTACAGTAATTACAATTATTACTTCCTCATAGAGGAAGTATTATAATGCTAACATTTTTCGAGTTCGATTTTTTGACATATCTTTATGTTATTTGACCTCAAGAGTTCAAAAATGGCATTCCGTATGTGTGTGTGTAAACATCACATTTTTATAAATATCTCGAAATCATAAAGAGCTTTTGGGTTGAGTTTTTTTTAAATTGTAGATCTCATCTGCGGAAAAGTTTAAAGTTTTAAAGTTTAAAGTTTAACTAAATTTTTTTGGATTTTTAATTTTGCAAAAAAACGTTTTTTGCCCATAACTTTAAAAAAATGTTAGGACACCTATAAATGTTTTTCCATAATTTTGTAGAGTTTTTTTAGACGCATCTTTTGAGCCCTGATTGAACATTTTTCGTCCATATTAACCGGAGTTATATTAAACTTTTAAAAATCAAAAATTTTGTTGAAAAACGAAGAAGTAACATTAAAATTATCGTTATCAACTTGTAGAGCATTAAAAAACGCTTCGATTGACCTATTTTTGAACCTAATTCGATAATAAATTTCTAAATTATTGGTATTTTAAAAAATACCAAAAAATGTGGAAAAAGACATTTTTTAAACATTTTTGTTTGAAAATTTTTGTTTAACCATTAAACTATTATAACTATCTTGTAGAGTATTTAAAAATACATTGATTGACCCAAGATTCAATCACTTTTACCATATTTATAAAAAGTTATTCATATATTTCTATTATTATTATCTCTATGAGGAAGCAAAGTGTTAATGAAATGAGCTCCAAAATTATAAAAAAAATATACAACTTGTCAGCGGTTTTTGTATTTTTAATTATAGTAATTACAATTAATTTATATACTCATTTCCAGTAATTATAAAATTATAGTAACTAGGGGAGAGTGGCCATACTAACGGTTTTTTTTACTCTTGTGACTAAACGAATCAACCGATTTCATTTTTCGATGGCTTGTTTGAAAGATCATTTAATTGCGCAACTTTTTCCCAGAGACACATATACTTCATCTTTTATTGTTTAGTTGCTGTGTTAACTTTAAAAATTTTGCAAAAGGTCCGGTTTGCCCCACCCCCTGGGGTATACCAGACTCCCCCATGGGCAAACCGGACCGTTTGGTTTTTTATTTATATAAATATTAGATTTACATAATCTACAATAATAAAAAACATAAAGAATCATGTAAACAATGGTTGTAGTAATGAAAATAATAATACGGGATTGAATTTTAATTAAATAAATATTTTTATCCCACATGCACAAAAATGGCGCTTTCTGATAGCAGACGACAGGGAGGAAAGTCATTCATTTCTTCGACCGTATGAAAATGGCGGCCGTGTTCTCCCATGGGCAAGAAAATTAGCTGTTCACATGCATTTTTCTTGCTCTTGGGAGAAAACGGCCGCCATTTTCATACAAGTCGAACAAGTGAATGACTTTTACTCCCTCTCGTCTGCTATCTGAAATCGCCGCTTTTGTGCATTCTGCCCTTCATGGCGAGAAAATGGCGGCTGAAGTGATTGTCCGAAAAAAACTGGTTGACACGATATCTCTGCTTCAAAATGTCGGAAACAAAAAATCAAAAGAATTTCTTAAAATATATGTCATTGGGTATGGCATGAACCACAACCAACATTCTACATCCATTTTTAAGCCCATTTTTTTTACCGTTTTAGGGGTGAAAAAGGGGTAAAAAAAATTCAAACCGCCGACATTTTCTCATTTTTTTTTCAAATTCATTTTTTTTGGTTCAGGCCATAGCCACTGACATATATTTTAAGAAATTCTTTGGATTTTTTGTTTCCGACATTTTGAAGAAGAGATATTGTGTCAACCAGTTTTTTCCGGACAATCACTTCAACCGCCATTTTGTCGCCATGAAGGGCAGAATAAATAAAAAAATATTTTTTTCTTAATCCTCAATATGTGTGTTAATATGTGTAAAAAGAGCCCAGTGATAGATAGATAGATAGATAGATTTATTTCATTGTATACCCTATACAGAGTTTTTACAATTTATGTTTTAACACTAAATACAAATATTAATATGTTTACATCTCGCCTCTGATTTTCTTTTCTACTATTTTAAAAAATTCACACAACTCTTCAACCACACTCGTTCCAACCAATGTCTCGATTAATAAATCTTTTAAATCTTCTTCTGTCTATTGCCCACCCAATTTAACATAAACTCTTTTGTTTCATCCGATTGCAACTTCCAAGCTTCTGAACATCCTATTAAATGAGTCAACGTCTCTTCCCCCCAATTGCATAACCTGCAAGACCAATCATTAAACCCTTCTTATAAGCTCTACCTACGCAACCACATCTAATTCTTGCCCAAACGTCCTTGTAAAAAGAGCCCAGTGTTTAGATACATTTTACTATGAAAAAATAAATGTTGAAAAAACACGCAAAAGTGGTGTACGGTCCCCTTAAAGGGTCCAACTCTCATTGGAAGAAAATTATTTTTCTTTGTAAGTAAATATTTTAATGAAAGAAAAATTTTATTTAAAAATAATTTTTATGAAACTTTAATTCAATGGAAATATCCTATGGCCGGTTTGCCCCACAGGCCCATTTTGAGAATAAATGTTTGTCAAAAAGAAACGCTTTGCAAATTCATCAAAGTTTTTGGTGGTAAATATTCCTGAGGTATGTACCTTCAAAACCCAAGACCTAATATTTGGAAATATTACACGATTTCCTCAGATTTCCTTAAGAAAAAATTCGTAAAAGTGTAGAAAAAACTAAAAAAAAAACTTTTGCTCCCAGCGTTGCACAAACAAAAGTAAGAAATGTCAAATTTAAAAAATAAGGTATACTAAACATGGTTGTTTTAAATTTGTAAACAACACTTTTGACAATTTCGCCATTTCGGAAATATGGAGACCGGTCCGGTTTGCCCCACTCTCCCCTATGTAAATTTAGTTAAAAATAAATTATAAATATTTCTTCTTCTTCTTCTTAAATGACTTTAGGCGATGACAACTATCAGAACAACATTTAAAATATTTAAATACATTATTTAAAATTAATTTTACTTTTAGAGAAAAAATAAATAATTAAAAATAAATTTTCAGATTCTTTATAATCGAACAATGGCCCATCTTGGTTTGTGCGCTTTCCGTCATGCGAATATAAAAGAGGCACACAATTGTCTTGTTGATTTGATGATGACGGGAAAAGTAAAGGAACTTTTGGCCCAAGGATTACTGCCGCAACGTCAACACGAGCGCAGCAAGGAGCAAGAAAAAATTGAAAAACAAAGGCAAATGCCGTTCCATATGCACATCAATTTAGAGCTCCTTGAGTGTGTTTATCTCGTTTCTGCAATGCTTATCGAGATCCCTTACATGGCCGGTGAGAAGTTATTTAAAGAATTTTTATTTAAATATTCAATTTTTGTATTTACTTTTTATCATTTATTATACTTTGTTTGGTTAGGGCTTTATTAACATTATTACTGTTTTTCGACTTTGAACTTGCCTATATAGTTTTTAATCAATCTACGAATTACATTTTTAAAAAATAATTTAATTCTTTTTCAGCTCATGAATTCGATGCTAGAAGAAGAATGATTTCCAAGACCTTTTATCAACAGTTGAGATCCAGTGAACGTCAATCATTAGTTGGACCCCCGGAATCAATGCGCGAACACGTTGTCGCAGCTGCAAAGGCTATGCGAAATGGAAACTGGTTGGCGTGCAACAATTTTATAATAAATGACAAAATGAATGCTAAGGTAAGAAAAATTTGTTTCGTACAAAAAATAATTATAATTTTTATTTTGTGCCACTAAAAGCTACTTTTTTCCTTTTTTATTTTATTTTCACTACTACAAAACCCACTAATAGGTAAAATGAAAAAATTAATATTTACTTTCTTCAAATTAATCATAAATTCAGGAGTCATCTGTTCACCTTGTTTAATTAATTATAATAAAAATGCTGGTTATAAATTTAACTTTATTAATTCAAATTAATCTAGTCTAATAATATAACCAAATTTTAGACGACGCAAATTTTAAACTGTTAAAGCTTTAACTGTTGATAAAAAAACTAGAATTGATTAAAATTATAATATATTAATTAATTTGAGCCGTTCGCTAGAAAAACGACTTAAGTCGACTTAAGTTTTTGACGAAAAAATTAAATTAAAGATTCAGAAACGAATTACTAATATAATTTACGTATTAATTATATCGCTCATTTTTCCCAATACAAAGGTATTATCAAAGAATACTTTAAAAGAAAATAAGGTCGAGTAAACAATGTTTTGATACTTTAATAACATTATTTTATAACAAATGACTTAAGTGGTTTTTCCAGCGAACCACTAAAAATTAAACAAAATTAAGTATTTTATGAAAGAACATTTTTATTTTAATGTATTAAAACATATTTATTATTCTAAAAAGTCTTACGATATATTTTATAGTAATATTCAATTAAATATCAACATTATAATGCACAAGTTTAGTTAACAAAATGAAAAAATTACTCGCTTTTGTAATAATCCAAAATTTTTGAAAATTTCAAATTTATAGCAGTGAAGGCTTGTAGGAAAAACCTTCTTTAGTATTTAAAAAAAAAGAAAATTGAAATCGGTGGAGATTTGTATTGTCGGCAGAATTTTGTCCAAAACACTGCATTTCTTCCCACTGTGCGCGGTAGCAGAGGACGTGAACGCGCGCTTGCGTAAGTGCCTCAATTTCGGGACCCAGGAAGTTTAAACACCTCAATTAATTCATAAATAGTGACTTACAACTTTAGAAACTTGATATATGTAATCTATATGTCTAGTAGAATACACTGATAACAAAATTTTTAAAAACCGCTTAAGTCGTTTTTCTAGCGAACGGCTCATTTATAAGTTTACATATTTATCTAACATTATTTAACAACTGTTTTGAAAAATAATTCCTCCTTTGATCTAGTGGAATAAAAATTATACGGATGTGATTATTGCAAAATATTTTTTTAGTTAGACATGTTTAGATTTTTATGAATTTTGACAATAACAGCGTTGACACAGAACAGAGAAATAAGAGACGAAAAGAAATTTTACTCAAAGTATTAGAAAAATATCAAATCATTGAAAACAGATTGTTTTTTAATTTTCTTTCTCAAAAAAGAAAAAAAATGTTTAAATACCATAGAAAGTTACAGTTGCAATTTTTAAAAATAATAATTATTTTATCGATTATTTATTTTTGTATTTAGACAGTTGAATTCTTGTAGAACTTTCTAATAAGAATTGATTTGAAGAAGAATTTCTATTAAAATTTTAGAAAATAATTGAATAGATATTAGAAGAGTTACAGTAAGAAATTTTAGAAATAATTAAATTTTAAAAGGTTTTCAAATTGAAATCTTTGAAAATTTCAATTGCTATAAAAGTATAATAATATTTAAATATTTATTTTAAAAATTAAAAACTTGGGGCATTCTTTCTGAACGGGAGACGACCTCTATCTGTTTAAAAATATTTCAGACCTAGATAGTTGTGTTAGGACTTAAAATTTATCTCTTTATGTCTACTTTTAAATGCTGAGTGGCCAGAAACGAAATTCAATATGGGTGACTTAATATGGCTGAAAATGTAATCAGAATTCATTAAATTCATTTGTTCGAGTCTTCGAGTCAAGAAGACTGGAAACAGGAGGTCTAACTTGGTAGTGGGGATTATGTAAAAGAAGTGGGACAGCAGTCGGTTGGACTTTGCAATTCGGTCACTGCGCGGTGAACAAATTTTATCCTTCTGCACATAAATAAACAATCTATATCACGTGGTTAATTTTTGTATTTTTGAGTACTTTACTTTTAATTATATGATCTGTTGCGATATAAATATTATTTAAATCAGTTTTATCAAGAATGTCGGGAACATTTAAATATTCTTGAATTTTCTACAACTTTCTCACTTTTCATCAATGTTTTCTAAACATAAAACGCATAACCTATAAATACACAACAGCTGTCAGATGTGCCAACTTCAAGCCGCTATGCAGAAGTCTACCGTGCAGTGACCCAAACTGTAACTCCACCGACTGCTTGCCCCATTATTTTCCCCTCTACCTACCGAAAGAATGGAACGAAGTTAGACCTCCTGTTTCCAGACTTTTTGGATCGAGTGATGAAATTTTTTTGGACTTTCACCCATTTTTCGCTTTTCTGATGCGGGGAGGTGGGAACGCTAGCTATTAAAAGTTTATAAAAAAAATTCGCAATGGTCACATTTTGAAGAGCAATAATCCATCTTTAATTTCCGTCTTCCGACCATATGCGATCAAATTTTATTTTCTTTGTCAGATATTAAAGAGGGATTATTGCTCTTTAAAATGTGATCATTGCAAATTCTTTTTATAAACTTTTATTAGGCAGCGTTTCTACCTGCCCGCATCAGAAAACCGAAAAATGGGAAAAAGTCCAAAAAAAAATTCATAACTCGAAAAATTGTTGACCAAATTTTTTTTCTTTGTCAGATATTAAAGAGGGATTATTGCTCTTCAAAACGTGAACATTTCAAATTTTTTTTATAAACTTTTAATAGCTAGAATTCTTACCTGCCTGCATTAGAAAATTGGAAAAATAAAAAAAATTCATAACTCGAACAATTTTTGACCAAATTTTTTTTTTTCTTGATCACACGGAGAGAAATCTGCTGCTAATATTACTCGAAAGAGCATATTACTTAAATTGCTTAACGTTTCTCTTATATTTTTAGCATAGATTCATATATACTTATTGTAAAAATACTTTCAATACAATAAGCATAAGAGACAGTAGCTAATTTTTCACGAATTTTTTATTATAAATACAAAGAAAACGTGCTAGTTCGAATGTCGAAAGTTCGAATGTCGGTTTTTCGACATTCGAACTAGCCCAGTTCGAATGTCGAAAAACCGACATTCGAACTATCCCAGTTCGGATGTCGAATATTCGACATTCGAGTTACTACAAAATTCGAACCGAACCGAGTTTTGTTCGGTTTTGGTACGCTAAAATGTCGAATTCTAAAATTCGACATTCGAGTTAGCTTAGTTCGAATGTCGAATATTCGACATTCGAACTAGCCCAGTTCGAATGTCGAAAAACCGACATTCGAGTTAGCTTAGTTCGAATGTCGAATATTCGACATTCGAACTAGCCCAGTTCGGATGTCGAATATTCGACATTCGACATTTCGGCGCCCTAAAACCGAACTAAACTCGGTTCGGTTCGAATTTTGCACAGCTCTAATATATATATTTCTCTGGACAGTTTTGTCGTCCTGTAAAACATTATATATTATATGTAGTATTTAATACTTGTTGCTGTTATAAAAAGATAATATTTATTTAATAGTAAGTATATCAGTTGAAATTTATTGCATTTTTATTCGTGTTTGAATGTATAGGCAACATGTGAAAATTGTTAGGTTATGTTAGTGCAAACGTCACTGCGTTGTACGCGTTCCGTTCCTTGAAACCATCCAGAGAAATATATGTGCGTATACGCAGGTAAGATTGTGTTGTATAAAGTCCGCCTGAAAATCAGTCCGAGTTCGAGCGATTCTTATAAGAAGAATCTAATACTTTTATAGCACGTTTTCTTTGTATTTATAATAAAGATTTCGTGCAAAATTAGCAGCTGCTTTTTGTTTTTATTGCATCGAACTCTCCATTACATTAAATAGATAATTTCGTATACCGTAAACTGGGGCTATTAGGAACAGATTTCAACTTTAAAGTCTGGCAACTTCTTTGTGTATTGAAATATTGCCTTAATTTTTTGTTTCTTTTCTTGATCTTGGCGAGCACATTGAAGGGTTAAATAATTGCCTTGATCAAAGCTGGAATTTTAAACAAAAAAAAAAGAAAAAGACGCTTTTTTCGACATTATAAAATGGGGCTATTAGGAACAAGGCGGTAAAAACCATTAGAAAACGTATTTTAAATTAAAGAAGTTATTTTTTATTGCTCGAAAGCAAACACAGAATATAAAACAAATGTAAAAACAAAACTAAAAGAGCGAATGTGTGTTTTAAACGTTGCTGGTATCATAGTAGAGGTCGATGATAAAATCACTAGTCGTTTTTTGCGACTTGTCGGTACCAACACTCTTTTACAATTTCAAACCATCTTTGAACACTAAAAACCAAATTAGGTGATAAAAAACAAAAGAAATAACGAAAAACTTACGTTTTGACAACACACTTTAACAATTCGGAAGAAATAATTATGTTTCTTATATACCCGCCGTTTGTGAATTTTGGTTTTTGTTTCTAAAATCTTACTGTAAATACAAAATAAACGTATTTATTACTTAGTGAACTCAATAAAGTTTACCATAAAAAATCCCATTAATAAAAAACAATCACTTTGAGATGTTAAAAATGAAACAACTTACATCAGCAATCAACCCAGTAATAAGGGGTGAATTAAAGTGGATTGGTACTTTTATGCCCTTAAATTCCAAACCAATTCCGTTTTTGTCCGCAATCTTAATGAATTCCTTTTCTATTGTTAAATTGATAATTTCTATCCAATTCAATTCTCTGTAACCACGTGACCAGAGTCTGAATTTACTTTAATGCCGTTTAAGGGAATCATTTGTTGTGGAGTTAATTCCTTTTAATTAACATTGAATTCTTTAAAGGGCATTAAAGGGGTTTCAAATTCTGGTCACGTAGTTACAGAGAATTGAATTGGATAGAAATTATCAATTTAACAATAGAAAAAGAATTCATTAAGATTGCGGA